TATATATATATATATATATATATATATATATATATATATATATATATATATACATACATACATATATATATATATATATATATATATATATATATATATATATATATATATATATATATATATTGTTATTTAGGTGCCCCAAGAAGACCTAACGGTCTTGTCACAGAGCACCGCGGAAGCGCATTTAACTAGTAAGTTCACGCCTCCTTCCTTACCGTGATACGAAAATATGTCCAGAGTTCGTTTCGAACCTGGATCTCTTGTTTCTAAAGCAAGCCCTCTAACCATTACGCCACAGTCACATTATCTAGTCAAGACCAAGCCCTACTTAAGACTGAGTTTTGTCAGAAAAAAAAGTTAATTTTTAGAAGAAAAAAAAAGAGTCCAGGAAAAAACAAAAGAAATTAGGCAACCATTTTCTAAAGCTGTAGTGTCTGGGTCAAGAAGTGGCAGTAGGAAAAGTGCTTTTGAACACTGTGATAATCTTGTCTCAATATGGGGTGGTTCAGCTAATAGTAAGCCATTACAATTTGTCTAATAAAATAAGTCGTGAAAAGTTAACCTTAAATAATATTGAAAATGTAATCAGTGATCACGAGGATATTTTGGACTGTAGCGATAATGACAATGAATTAAATCAAAAAAACAAAAACAAAAAACACCTGTAGTTCCAAAACTTATTCACAATAAAAGAAAAATGCTTAAAAAAATCTTTCTGCAGCACAGAGAGGTAAACTTTTTTTAAATGAAATGAAAAGTGATGGAGAACTTTGCAAACATCAAACTAAAGCCATAAAAGAATCCAAGGAATCTTTTTCTGATTGCATAAAATACATTAGTAAATCAATTAGTGCTCTAAGCAAAGGTTTGTATTCCTCTATGGAATTACTTTCCAGAACACTGATCTCCCAACAACAAACATCTGCTATTTAAACTCTTACACCTCAGCATTTTATTTATTAACATAACAGAGCTTTTTAACCTATTTGGATTCAAAAAACAATACCACAAAAAGTCAATTGACTATAGAAATAAACAAGCTAACTTAACTAGTTGTTATTTATAAACTTCATGAGACATGTAAGCATTTATGTTATTAAAAAGTCTCAAGTCATGGATAACTTTTTAGTGACTAAAAATCTTAAAGAAACTTTTAAAAATATTTACAAATAAAGTTGTAAAAAGCCTTTAATTAAAATTCACTGTTTTATTACAATAATAAATTTTGTTTTTTTAAACATGTTCAACAATAACTTGTCAAAGAAAAAATCATAATAAAACTGGAACAAAAATGTAAAAAATATTTTTATTTTATTAAAAGATGAGTATTTTTTTGTCTTTTTTATATTATATTTATATTATATTTTTTCTCTCATTTGCTGTTTATTTTTTGGTAAATAAACAAACCTTGGCTCTAAATACTTTACTATAACATTAAAAACTGCTAAAGTAGTACAAACTACAATTCCAAAAGTGTTTGATCTCATGTTCAATGTACCACTGTTTTTTAAATAGTATAGCATTATAGCAACATTTTCATCTGGTGTGATTGCTCTTATATTTAGTGAGTAAGAATCTAAAGATATATAAGGTTTAAGAGCAGAGACAAGTTTAAAAAAGAAAGTTTTATGTAATCGAAAGTGTTTTTTATAAGATTCTTCAGGTGTAATGTTCAATATGAGATTTTGCCACCACAAATCTGTGTCCAAAATAGAACCAGCAGCTTCTTCTTTTCCTGTTATTATTTAGCTAATCTCAATCTTCTTAATAAACGATGCCTAGAACCCAATAAATCAAGAATAATTTCAACTGATATATTTATTATAACTGATATGAAATATATTTAACTGATTAAAATCCTTTTGCTTTTTAATAGCCATTGTAAGTAGTAAAAGATAATTTTGAATATTAATAGTTTGTATATTAATCATTTTAAAAGTTGCAAAGGTAAGAATTTGTTGATGTAATAGTAAGAAATCCATTTTTATTAACTGGGCATTTTTACATCATGCGTAAACCAATATTTCATCCTGGTTTAACGGGCTAGAAAAAATCCATATAAACTTAATAACAATATTCATCTCACCATGTTGAGACAGCCCAAATGACAGAGCAAGCCCGATTCATATAAACAGCTCCTTAGAATCGGCTTTTCTTCTGGTTTTGCTTCTAATTTAGACTTCCCATAGATCATGTTCTGGAGAGTTGATCATAGAACTTTATATTATATTTGCTTTTTGCTGAGACATACCATTTAAAACTTCATGTATTGCCAGCTTGACGTTAGAATCTGTCCACAACATGCCTTTTTATATTATTCTTGAAAATAGTTCAATGATAATATTTGACTTTAGATTTTTAAATATATTTTAACTTTTTTTTAGTCTTTTCATATTCAATACTATTTCTATTAAAAAAAAAAGAAATGCAATTATAGCAATAAACATATGTAAATAAATAATCTGCTAACATATGTAAATTAAAAAATTCAAAAACTATATATTTATTACTTTTATTTTTATTTTTTTATATAAAAACATCCATTTTTATACTATATTTTATATTACAACATACATTTTTATATTAAATTTCCATTCAAGTATAATGAGGTAAATTTAAGTAAAATTTAGATGTTGCTTACAACTTAACAACCTTAATTTAACTCTCACATACAGTATGTGTCAAAATTGCCACCATGTTTAAACAAAAAAATATTTTATATATATTTTATTAGAAAAGCTGCGAAGAAAAATGAAGTTTTAGTTTTATTAATTAAATTTAAGACTTAGCTAACTAAGAATATAGCTTTTTGTTAAACTTAAAAGATATTTAATTTTTTTTTAAATTTTTATGTGAAAAGCTAACGGTGACAATTTTGTCTCGAATGAAAGCAATTAACATGTTTGTCCACAGTTAATTAGGCATATCACATAAATTAATAGCCTTATGACTAAAATAATTGAGTTATCAACTTTTCACAAATTTTTAACGATTAAATATCATTTAAAGTTTGATTTTGTTTACAAAACATAAAAAAAGTATTGTTATTATCATCATGAGGAAAATAAATCTTGAACTAGAAAAAAATATTGTAGAAAGGCTTAAATCTGGACAATATTATTGTGAAATTGCTGCTGGGTTCAAAAAGTCTTATAATCTCATATATAAAATCAAATTGCACAATAATTTAGTGGTCAAAAAAATTTTTTTACACCAAGAGACCAAAAAAAAATTGCTCGTTTAATTGCTTCTGGAGAGTCTAAAACTGCAAAGATGTTACTAATTTAATGAATAACAGCTATGGGACTCATGCTTCAGTGTGGACAGTCAATAGAGAGCTCAAAAGAATTGATTTTCGATCCAAAAGGAAGATCAAGAAGTCATTGTTAGTTTCTCATCACCGCCAAGCTCATTTAAATTATGCTAAACTTCATGCACACATGACTTTTGATGACTTTTATGAATGGATTCCGACAGATGAAAGTAAAACTAGTATGTTTGGATCAGATGGTATAAGATATACTTGGAGACAGCCTAATTCACCATTAAGTGCTCGCAATTTTACACCAATCGTTAAATATGGCAGAGGAAAACTCTTGTTTTGGGGATGTTTCTGTGCTTGTGAAGTTGGTGAATTAGTGAAACTAATGGAATAATGAACGCTGATGACTATATCAACATCCTTAAGGTCGCATATTTCAAGTCCCTTCGAAAATGGGGTAAAACTGTACGTAACACGATGTTCATGCAAGACAACTACCCCAAGCAAAAGGCTGATAAGACCATTAAATTCCTTAACAAGAAAAATTGAAGGTCATTGACTGGCCAGCACAAAGCCCTGATCTTTACCCACTTGAAAATTTATGGGCAATAGTTAAACAACGGGTCTACAATTTTCCTACTCCACCTAAGAATATGGATGAACTTTGGGCTCGTGTAAAAGAGTTTTGGTACTCAATTACACCTGAGTAATGCCACAAATTGGTTGCTAGTGTTCCTGAAATAAATCAGGCTGTAATTAAATCTAAGGGAGGATACAGTCGATATTAATTTACTACAATATGTTATTTGCTTTCATTTGCGACAAAATTGTCACCATTAGCTCTTCACATAAAAATTAATAAAAAAATTCAATATCCTCTAAATTTAATAAAAAGCAATAAATTCAGTTAGCTAAGTCTTAAATTTAATTAATAAAACTAAAATTTCATTTTTCTTCATAGCTTTTCTATTAAAAAAATTATAAAATATTTCTTTGTTCAAACATGGTGACAATTTTGGCACCTACTGTATATCATGTGTCAAGATTTTATCACAGTTCTTTATTAATCATGTCATATAAATTATAATTAAGAGTGAGATAAATCTTGTTTGAAAACATACAAAATAGATTCACATTTTTATTTTTGTCTGAAAAAAACATAAAGACTTGCTATGACTTAAAAATGATTACAAAGTATTTTGCATAAAAATACGTTATTTTTTTTAGTGCAAAATAGAATTTTGTGTTTAAAGTAATATATATATATATATATATATATATATATATATATATATATATATATATATATATATATATATATTTTATAATATTAGGGACCTGTTAAATAAAAAATGAACATGTACTAAATATTGGACAATCGAGCTTAAATTAGATTTAAATTAATCACAAAAGATAATTACAGCACATGAAAAACAGAAAGTTATGATTTTTTATCATAAGGGGGTTAATGGCATATTTTTATATATATATATATATATATATATATATATATATATATATATATATATATATATATATATATATATATATATATATATATATATATATATATATATATATATGTATATATTTATAATTTTTATTCTTCTAATACATTTTCAATATTTTGACTTAAGTTAACAGCATTCACAAACTAACATAAAAAAATTAAGTAAAAATTAAAGGTAATTTATGGCAATTATATAAAGTAAATGTCACTAGCAAATTAAATATTTACGTATGATTGACATTTAAAGTGAATCCATTAGCACCAGTGGCATCAATATTAGATTGATTATAAAAGGTTCCATCACCAAAATCAATTGTCAAGTTTAAATTGTTTCCATTGGATATGGTTATAGTCACATAAAAAGCAATATTCTTTTGTAAATATTTTTCAACATACAAATTAAAACTTCTCATTTGAGACAAAACTGCAACATTAATTGAAGTATTGAGAGAGCTTATCTTGTTAGCTGCTGTCAAAAATACAGTGAAAACACCTAAAAACAGCATTTAGTAATATGTAGAAAATGTATTAAACTGTTTAAAACGGTATATATATATATATATATATATATATATATATATATATATATATATATATATATATATACTAACATTTATATTTATCATAAATAGTGTCAAACCAAGAACTAATTCTTTGAGAACACAGCTAGTTATATATATGTATATATATATATATATATATATATATATATATATATATATATATATATATATATATATATAATATATATATATATATATATATATATATATATATATATATATACATACATATATATATATATATATATATATATATATATATATATATATATATATATATATATATATATATATATATATATATGAAAACGGTGAGGGAAAACAAAGAATAATGAATGAAAAGGTTGCTGATCCATACCAAACCCTCAGTCGATGTAGCAGCACTCCACTGCGAGTCAGGCTATTTGTCAGTCATGTATGTACTGAAGCCCCCAGCAGCAGGCTATTTGACGTTAGGTGAATATGACATCATCATGCTCACCTAACTCAGCAGTATAAGATATATATGTATGTATAACATTTAAAATAAAAACAGTTTTTAGCTTTAAACTTTTATTAAAATAAATATATTTTATTATTTCTCTTACATTTTGCATTATTTTATATGTATCTATGTTGGGTTAGAAATCACACCACCGGTAGAGAATAATAGAAATTAAAAATAATCTGGAAAAATTAGTTAAAAATCCCTTAAAGTGTATAGTTTCTTTGTGAAACATTGTTTGTCAAGGTTTGTGTTTCTGTGTTTATAAGGTTGAGAAAAGGGTTTAATTGCAATTAATAAAAATGAGTCAGCTATAAGCTGAGTAATGCAATATTAGAAAAGTTGTTTAACTGTTGCTTACTTATTTAATTATTGTTTAGACATAATGGTTAAAGTTAAACTGAAAGATAAGTTCATCGTTTTGTAAACCCTTAAAAATTATGTTGAATAATTTTAATTTACAAAAACAAAATTAAAAAAAAAAATTTTACACACCTAAATATTTAGCTTCAGCATAACAAATAAAATCAGTTGAATTTTGAGAATAATTAAGAGCTGGAATATCAAACATATACACAACATCTGTTCCATTGTCTATTGCAGCTTGTAACTGTATTAAACTACTAGGCTTATATCCTGCAACAGAAGAACTATATGGTTTTGCAGGTACAAAATTTAGATTAGTAACAGGAACCTAAAATAAAATTATTTTTACCATCAAAAAAAAATAAAAAATTTAAATCGTAACTTTATAAAATTATATATAATTTTATTAATATATTATGGTATTATGATTTTTTTTATTTTCATCTATTTTTATCTAAATCTTTTAGTTTTCATATTTTTATTACTTTTTGTTGCTTAAACATAACAACATAGCCCATTTCATCAAGCCTATTACGTGTTTGTTGTAAACAATTATGTTTAAATTGAACTAATCCTTTAATTTGCTTGAAACTTTCAAATGGAAAAGCTGATAAACTTAAAAGCTATTTAAAACAATGAAAACAGTTTTTTTCAAGTCAAAGGATCTTCACATGATTTTCTAAATATAACCTACGAAGTTCCACAAGGATTTATATAGGATCCTTACTATTTCTAATCTAAACTAATGATCTTTATAAAGCCTCAAAATTAACAACAATTATGTTTGCTGATGATACAAAACTATTACTATCTTCTAATAACAACTTTTTTTATGATTTGAATGCTCAGCTATTAAAAATCTGACTGATTCAAATCAAATAAACTTTAAATCAACACAAAAAAAAAAAAAGGACTCTCTTCTGTCCCAGTTTTAAAAAACACTTTCTTCCAATTGAGATACCTCTGCTTTATATTGACAGTATTCAAATAAAAAGAGTTATGTCAACAAACTTTTTAGGAATCAATATGTATCAGATGTATCAATATAAATTTATTATGGAAGATTCACATTGGACATTTATGCAGCATAGTTGCAAAAAGTATTGGTTTTATATGAAGCAAAAAACATTTTTAACAAAAACTCATTAAAATTGTTTAAAAGAAAACTAAATAATTAATTTTTTCAGTTAAAAATGTACCTATATATTTGTAAATTATAAGTATCCTTATACCCATACTACCCAGTGTTTTTATTCAATATAAATTTGAAACTTATGTAAAAAAACTATATTTTTAAATACCATACAGTTAAAATGCACACAATTGTCATACAACAAACAATAATAAAGCTTCACCTAAAAATACAACTGTCTAAATAAAAATAACTGCCATTTATCAAACCAATGTTTAACAAAAAACATGCCATACAGGCTATGTAAGCTCCAATGATCCTACTCACACTTCTATCAATAATTTTTATATTGGTATAAGTGAAATGTCTTTCAAATTAGATAAAACCAACCATATAAAATTATTTAACATTCTTAATAAGCTGTTACATCTCGGAATTATTTAAAACGGTAACGAGAAATCAGTTAAAATTAGAACAAGAAAAAATAAAAGTAACGGGAAAAATTTTATTGTTAAAAAATCAGGCAAGACTCATTAAATGGTGAGAAATTCCAAAAAAAAAAACAAGAAGAAACAGTATAGATTTATTCTCTAAATTTCAATGAATTTTTTCGAAATTTTTATACTAGTTTATCGTAATTCGATTTTTGAAAACTTTATTTTATGAAAAAATTAACACTTTATTATGTTTTTTATTCTTGTATACTAACACTACAAGAAATTAGGAATTATGAAGTTTCATATTTATTTATAACAATAAATTGGACCCGATCAGTATTAGTACCCATTGTACCTTGATCAATGAATAAACATTTCTATGTCTGTAATTTATATTATGTAAATATGTTATTTCATATGTCTATGTATGTATTATATATATTATGATTTATATGTATATATACATATATATATATATATATATATATATATATATATATATATATATATATATATATATATATATATATATACGTAAATGTAATGTTTTTTCTTTCTTATTTATTATAAGAAAGAGAATTGCTTTAATATTTGTTTGATATTTAATTCTATATCTATATATTAAATTGTTACAACTAATTATTATATTAACTGTGTGAAGTCTTCTCATGTCATTAACCTCTAATAAATTTAGCGCAACAGCTTTTAAAGGAGAATTCTTTGTGCGGAATTCTCTTAGCAATCATTTTATTTATATTCAATTAGTAATTCTCCTTGTTACTTATTCCACAATCGCTAATTGTTATTCTGAAAGATTGTTAGAAATTATTGTCCAGAGGAAATTGTTTGCTTAACAACAACTACATTACATTATAATATGAAATTATAATCATATAAACATATAATACATATTATAAAAACAAATAAATATTAAATTCAAAACTATATCAATAGGAATACAAATTCTTATAAGAGAAGCCATTTTTACATAACTTTCTTACTTAAAACTAAAAATTTTTGTAGACAAACAACAGTTTCTGATTGGCTAAAGCATTACCTAATATTTTACAAGAAAAAAATTTAATTTAAAAAAAAAAATGTTAAATTTGGTATAGCAAAAAAATTAAAGGTTTTCGGATAAAGTCTTGTTTTGTCTTGAAATAAAGCAAGATTAGATTTTTTTATTTATCATTATAACAAGATGGTAACTGTAAATTAAAAAGAAAGAGAATGTCTTCCGACACGATAAACTGCTTTGTTTCGTCAATCTCCCTAAAATTTACCATTTAATTCCGAGATGCAACAGCTTAATTTTTAAGTATAAAAATGATACTGAGCTATCAAAGGAGGTTTGGAAATTAAAAGATGCAAACCCTGTTGTTAAATAGAATTAAACAGTACTATGCCTATAACCATGCCACAAAATCCTGTAAATTATACGTAAAATATAAGTATGAAACTCTTTTCTTTGAAAATCCAAATTTGTTAAATAAAAGAGTTAAATAATATCTAAATGGTTATAGAAACAGTGTAATTATACAAACAAAGTGTGGTTATAGAAACAAAGTTCTTCTTGCCCAAATCAACACAAGCGATCAGTTTTTACCCTCTACTCTTACTTATTTTTATTTTTGACATCAAAACTCATTCTATTGTTTTATTTTGATGTTTTTTTGTATTTGAAATTAGTATTAAATTTAAAAAAAAATACGACTTTGAGATAAAACATTAAATTTCATGGATATCAAATCAAATCAAATATATTCTGAATAAAGTTGTTACATCAAGGATATTTACAAATAGTAATTTGTACTAATATAATTTAACACCTGTCAAAATAAATAAAAATAAGATGGAGATAGTAATAATAATAATTATAATACAAGTAGGAATTATAAAAGTAATAGTAGTGATTATAGTGATAAAAAAAATAATAGTAGCGATTATAAAAAGAATTTACTATAATAATAATAATAATAATAATAATAATAATAATAATAATAATAATAGCAATAATAATAGCAATAATAACAACAAAAATAATAACAACAACAATAATAACAATTACAATAATATTCATTATGATATAAATTATGATATGAAATATAGTAATAATAACAACAACAGTGATAAGAGAATACTATAGAAACATATCAGTTTATAATAATAAATTTAATAATTGATATTAAATTAGTAATATATCACGATAGAAATGAGAAAAATTAAAAGATGAATAGAAGCACTGCGTTATAAATAATAAGTTGTAAAAAGGTATAAGATTTATAAAGAGTATTTTTCTAAAAAAGAGAGCAGTTTTAAATTTTGACAATTTATCTGCAAACAGCCTATTAAAAACAGCCTATAAAAATTTATTTATATAAAAAAAGCATTAAAAAATACAAAATAAAAATTAATTGTTTTCCTTCTTTTCAAGACTACACTCTTTTCAATTTCTTATCAAAACAGTTCTCGTCTATTTTTGAATTACTTTTAAATTATCATTTTATTACTACGTTTTATCCCATGTCTCCAGCAATCAATACTGTTGTTATTAAGGTCACTAATGCCCTTGACACTTACAGCTGTTAAAGGAATCAACCTCTTTGAGAACTACAATTGATTTCACCACTATGCAATAATTAACTACTGGGTAAATCTAATGATCATATTCTTCTTGTCATCCCAGAGAAACAAAATGAATCTATATTAGACATCCTAATTTCTCTGGCTTTTGTTGTCAAAGTTGATTCTCATTAAAACTTTCTTAAGGCTTGAAGTTTCAAAAGTATTGCTGTCACAATCAATTGTGATATAGTAATATTTTTGAGACTAAAAGAGTATTAATGAGAATCAACTTTAGTTTTGGAGAACACTTTAGTATGATTAATCATACTTAAGTATTCTCCAGAATTTTCTTCAATACTTTCTAAACTATTTAACAATAATGTTAAAGTCATCTTGAAGGACAACTTCTCCTTCATTTTTAGTAATTTCTGGGTTACTTCAAGATTACATACACAGACCTGTGTTATATTTCATTTATTTTATTAATCTTTCTTATAATCTTAGCAATAAAATAGTTATATTTGCTGGTGACACAATTATATACTCCAGTTTAAAAAAAAGTCACCTATTGTTGATCACATAGGATAAGTAGCAAATCTTAAATATGATTTTCATTGTCTAACTTTTAAATTTGCTACCAATATTGATACTAAAGCAAGCTATTATCTTCTGTTCCATCAATCAAAACTCAATCATAGTTAACTTTTGCCATTCAACCAATTCATTCATCCTTTCATCCCAACTATTCTATCATGTTCAAAAAACATTCATTCATTCATCCATTCAGCCAATTCATTCATCCTCTTACTCTAACTGTTTTATCATGCTTAAAAAACATTTATTTTACTACACATTAATGTTTTGACTTTCTTTTCCTTTAAATCGCTTCTTTTCTCTATTAACTCTGTTAACTCCCAACTTAAATAGTGGTTGCTAGCAGCTTTGCTGGGAGTATTTATTGAAAAAAGAATAAAAAAAATATGTATATTTGCAAATAAGAATGCGAGGATGATTAATATAAATTCAAACTAAATAATAAATATACTCTGGTGTAATAAATATAAAAAATATACTATGCATATAACAAAATTAATATTCAATTTTTAAAAGAGAAAACTGTTGTTCTTTTAATTAGCTTAATTATCAATTCAATAATGATCAGTTAAGAATTAAAAAGAGTAGGATAAAAAATATACACTAAATATGGCCAGGACTTTATTAATTGTAAATAATAAACAAAATTAATAAAATTTAACAAACCTGAAAACTATAAATGTAACTAATTGGTTGAGAAGGTGTAATGTGATTAAAAGCATTAACTGTGAAATTAAATATTCCAACTGTACTTGATGGTACTTGAAACATATATTCAAACGGCTTTGATATAAAAAAAGATATATATAAACTATTGTTGGGAACGTCATTAGTAGAAAAAGTAACTGTTTTTCCAAGCTCTAATCCATTCATAGATTTATATTTTAGATCCTCTATTGTGCTCGTAAAATCCTTTGTTTTATTACAAAATAAACTTGCATTTCCACCAATCCATACCATGTCATTTTCTTGAACATCATTATTACGGTTTTGAATTGGTATCTCAATAACTCCAGTATCATTTAGCAAAAATAAAAACCCTTTAAAAATGAATTTTTTAAATTTAGTCTTGTTATTTAATTGATATATCAATCAAATTAAAAAAGTTTATGTGCTGCAAGCAATATAAATATTGACATTCATAGATATGTTAGTTATATAGAAAAATAAAGCAAAATAACTTCATTAATCTTTTATTTACTAGTTATATATCTAATGGTATTGCAAAGGGTTTACCTTTTGAATAATTTAATATAGCTACTTTATACCTTTTGAATAATTTAATATCCTCCTAACTCTATCTCCTCTTAACTCTATCCACATATAAGTTGGGAGAAATAAAAAATCAAAATACTCATTACACCAAATTACATCAAATTATTATAATTGTTGGTTTACTTACTCTTAACAACCAAAGCTGTAACAGATGTTTGATTATTTAGTTGATTTGTTTGATCTCCCGATAATCTTTTTACAAAACAACTACTTTTGCAATTCATTGCAAAGGTGCAGAAAGATGTAGAAGTATTGCATTGTGGTCTCAAAATCTGTGAATCAAATTAAAAAAAAAAATCAAAACTAATATTTGCTCTTATAAATCAAACAATATTTTCGTGTAATGTTAATTCTGTCATTAATTTAAGGTAAGATTCTAAAGTCACGAGTATAAAAAACATTACCATACTCATTTCTCTGTTCAGCTGGCTTGATTGTCAAGGTTTGTGTTAATTGAAGAGCTGAGATAAAGGTAACTCATTAAAATAACTCTACAAAAATCTAGGCTAAGAAGTCGAGGTTGTTGGATTATACAATTTCACTTTAAACAAAAGAGATTCTTTGAAAATCTTTTTGGTTAGCAAAAGATTTTCAAAGATTTAACCTGAAATCAAACCTTAAGCTATCACTTAAAACTAAATGTTGTAGGACTTAAATAAGACTATTATTTGTTAGGAATAATTTTGATACTGTAGTTAAAGTAACAGATAATACAATAATATTAGTTAAAATATACTATAATAATAGTTAAAGTATCGGATAATATTCACTATATCTTGCAATAATAAGTGTATGCAATAATAAATGATAATAAACTAAGAAAATGAAAAGATAGGTAATAATCTTATCAATCTTTTCACTTTAAAAACAAAATTTTTTTTTACTTTTATTTCACTACAAAAATTAAATATGAATATCAATAAAAATTAGGCTCACAAAGAATTGAAAACAAGAAAAAGTGATTAATCTGAATAAAGATATTACACAGAACAACTAGTTATGGTAGCTGACAAACAAGAAACTGAAAACAAAATTGTTGTCATGAAAACAATAAGATGGTAAATAAAGACATTACAGTCTTAACAATAACAAAATGAAAATTTGCAATGCTAAATGAAACAAAAAATCTTAACAATGGAATTGGTAAGAAATATGTTCCAAGGAATTGTAAAGTTCATTTATAAACTTATAGGTCTACGCCTAATGAAATAGCTAAATAATTATTTTAAGGTATACCTGTCAGCTTATGAAATAATAACAAATAAGAAATATATGCAATAACATAAAATAAATTAAAAACTAGTGAATTGACTGTTAGGTATGGTGCATTGGTTTTTTTATGCTTTTGTCCAATTAAAAATTGTGTGGACAGAAAATTGTGTGGCCCTGTTTTGTTTTTTATCTACACAAATGATCTTCCTGACAACCTTACATCTTAAGTGGCTCTATTTGCTAACAACTCAAATTTATAACCCTATTTTGACAAAATATCTTCTCTTTCCCATCATTTAGAACAGACTGCCAATCTTGAATCTTCGATCTTCCATAACATATTGTGACTTGTGAATTTTAACTCAAACAAAACTTTTTTACTGCAAACAACTATCGCAATATGGCAGACATTTCTATATAAATGAATGGCAACCCTCTCACTGAGTCCTCTTCTTTACGTCTTCTCGAATTATCATTCACTACCGACCTCTGATGGAAACCATATAAACAATCAACTGCAAAGTTAGCATTTGTAAGATCTCTTTATCATGCTTGCAATTATATTCCTGACTTTACTCTATACCTCTGCTAATCTTTTATCTGTCCCTGCATATGAATACTGTGAATACTGTTTTCATTTTTGGGCTGGTTCTTCTAATAATACTCTTTCTCTTTTTTACAAGATCCAAGAATGCATTGTAAACATAGTTGTACCTGTTCTATTTCCCAAGCTAAACCTTCTCCCATCTTCATAAAATTGCATCTCTTTCTCTTTTCTACAAATACTATCACGGTTGCTGCTCAAAGGAGCTATTATCTCTAGTTTCATCAACCAAAACTCATTCTCGCCTGACTTGCCATTCAGCAAAATCACATCCTTTTTACATTATTTGTCTTTGAATGCTCTAAAAACTTTTAATCTTTCAGTTTTTTTCCTGCACTCAACCCTTTGAAATTCTTTCCTATCTTTATTTTTTCTTGACTCATTGAACCTACAACTTTTCAAGTCTTCTGTCAATTGTTTTCTTGCTCTTTAACTCTATTCTTTTTTTTCTAGTGACTCTCAATTTAATAGTGGTTGGTTGCAGCCTTGTTGGGAGTAAATTAAAAAAAAAAAGCCTTCATCATAGCACACCATACCACCCATTCTGGTGTGGCATAATGTGCTATGATGTTATGATGTTGGCATGATGTGCTATGATGCAGTGCTACGATGTTATGTTGGCATAATGTGTTATGATGCTATGAACTCCTAGCAAAAAAAGACAGCGAGTACTGATCTAATGTGCATTGTAGAGTTTTTGAAAAATTGTGTGCATGGGTATTTGGTTTGGTCATTACTTTAATAGTTTTGGTCATTATCCACATCTAGTAGAATAGCCTAATGTCTGTATTATCATAGTGGAGTACATTGATAGAAATTGTAGCTTATTAATCACAAAAAGTAATTAAAAAAAGAAATTTTATTGTCTGCAACACTATCATTATATATTGGCAACTGACAAAACCAAACCAGTCAGATAGATATGAATGTTATATTTAGAGATCATAGCAAATACAAGGGTGAAAAATTAATGTTACATAATATAAACATAAAAACAAAAATTCTTACAAAAATAATTAAACTTCCTTGTGAAAAAACATTCAGCTTTAATTTTGTGAAACGTCCATATGTTAAAATAACATTTTTTAAAAAAAGTCCATTCGAAAGACTACAGCTACCTAAAAACAAAAGTGCTTGAGCAAAGTAAAACAGGTTATTATCATCATTATCATCACCGTCACATCATCATCATCATCATCATCATCAACATCATCTTAACCACTAGAATCTATGGTAGTATTATTATAATCTATATTAACAACATTCTGCAGTAGCATGTGTCGCATAGCCCCAGTTCTAAAGTCAACTTCCAAGTCAACTAGTCTGAAGTCAACTTTTAATATTGTAGCGCCTCTGGTTGTTCAAAAATGAAATTAAAAAAAATAATAAAAAAATAATTGTAATTATAAAAAATAATAAAGATTGAAAGATGCTGACAATACAAAACTTAAAAATAATAAAGGCGCAACTAAACTAACATTACTAAGAAACAATCTAACAAAGCCAACATTACCAAGTTTTAAAAATAATAAGCTGTAAATAAATCAAAAAACAACAGGAACAACAACAACAGCAACAAGCTATGTTAAAGTTTTTAATGAAGATTAAACAAGTCAAAATGGTGAATGGTACTAGTGTGAAAATACAAAGTTAATCAAACATGCAAACTTAGATAATATCTAAAAAATTTTAAGTTTTATTGCACTAAAAACTACCACACAAGTGACTCAACCTACAACACAAGTGACTCAACCTTCAGAACTTATCAATAATTCATATATATATATATATATATATATATATATATATATATATATATATATATATATATATATATATATATATATATATATATATATATATATATATATATATATATATATATATATATATATATATATAATTATGTCTTATTTACAAAAAAAACATTTACCTATTAAATTTGTTTCAGTGATAAGGTTGATTTCAAATCCATAAATTAAACGAATAATATCTGAAAAAAAATTTCATTATTTTAAATTTTACACATACATACATACATACATACATACATACATACATACATACATACATACATACATACATACATACATACATACATACATACATACATACATACATACATACGTACATACATACATACATATTTACATACATACATACATATATACATACTAGACAAATTAAAGTTTTTAGAGCATGCAGGGACAAATACAGTAAATGAATGATGCTTATGAAATTTAATGATTAAATGAACTTTATGAAGATGAGACAGAGGCTCAAGCTTAGCAGATAGATAGCAGTTCTAACTACATTTACAATCCAATTTTGGACCTTGTCTAGAACAGAAAGAGCAATATTAGAAGAACCAGCCCAAATATGACAACAGTATTCCATATAGGGATGAATAAGAGATTTGTGGAGGTAGAGAATGAAATCAGGAGTAAGAAAATGGCGATCACGATAAAGATAAATAATTTTAGAGAGTGCTATTTTAGAAATCAATTGTATATATGGTTTCCATGAATGGTCAGTAGTAAACAATAATCTGAGAAGAGGTAAAAAAAAAAAAGGCCTCAGTGAGAGGGTTGCCATTCATTAATATAAGAATGTTGACAGTATTGTGATAGTTGTTTGCGGTAAATAACTGAGTTTTATTAGAGTTAAAATTGACAAGCCAGAGCAAGCCCCAATTTGTTACAGAAGTGAGATCAGATTGATTGATGATCAAGATTGGCTGCCTGTTCTAAGTGATCAAAAAGAGAAGACTTTTTCTCAAGATAGGAGTATAAAGTTGAGCAATGAAAGGTCTGGAAGATCATTAATCTTTTCAATTCAAAACTAAATTTATTTATTATTTGTTATTTTGGTAAAATTAAAGTTGATTTTTTTTGAATTTCCTTATATTTAGTGTAAAATTACAATGATAGAGAATATTGATGCATAATTATTATATTGGTGTAAATGTAAAACCATGTTTAAGAATGTAAATGTAAAACCATGTTTAAGAAACATTTTGATGCAAACATTTCCTTTTAATACAGATTTAAGGTTTTTCAGTTTCTGGTAGATAGATTCTGGCATATGCAAAATGATTGGTTTGTAATTAAACATAAGCTTGATATTCCTGTACCTATTAAATTTTTTTTAAAGAAACTTTAATAACTACAGTTGTAAATCAATGTAAAAAATGTGCTTAAACTATTTTTATGTGACAATTTTTTTATCTTTAATGTCATACTATCATTTAATGTAACAAACCCTTTATACTAAATGCCATCCATTAAAGTCAAGCGATCCTTTAAAGCTAACATATTTGATAAAATATGTTTTAGAAAAAAGAAATGTTGTATTAAATTGATTTAATATTAACAACAATATGTTTTATTTAATTGATTTAAATCAAAAATCAGAGAGTGATGCTAGAATTGGAATTCACTTATATCTTCTTTAAAAATTAAAATTAAATTTTTTACATACCTGCATTAAAAAATAAAGTTTTATTCATTGGAAGCAAGAGTGTTACACTAATGTTAGTTCCTTGTGTAATAACCAAAAAGAAATTATAAAAACCATTAACTTGAACCATGGATGGAATAATGTAAATACCACCAACTTTTTCATCAATTTGTATCCAGGTTGTAGCAACAAATGGGTCAGTAAAGTTATTCCCAATTTCCTGAGACCACATCTGTAATCCAGGTAAATAAAAAATCCGTTTAACTGTCAAACCATTGACATTTTGTACTCTCAGTGGTAAGTCATTAGGTTTTGGTATTACAAAAGCACTTGAAGCATCACCTAATTTAAATATGCATAAAATCTTTGATCATTAAAACCTCTACTACTACAAAGAAGTCCAATTCACTTTTCACTCTATTCATGATTGGAGAGTGGATTGAAGTGGAGTATAGAGTGGGGACCATTTATTACAACAATTACTACTACAAAGAAATTAAATTCATTTCCCACTTTATTCAAAAATAGAGTGGAGAGTGGATTGGATTTTTCAGTGGTGCTTTCTTATTGATGGGGAGAATAAATGTTTTTAAATTCAGTTTAACTTTTTTATTCATAAATTATTCATACCAATTATTTGTTATTATTATTATTATTGCTACTTGTATTTAATTCTATTTACTGCTATTACTAACATTATTTACTACTATTACTATAATTTACTATTATTGTTATTATTGTTATTATTTTCATTACAATTGTTGTTGTTGTTGTTGTTGTTGTTTATTTTTGTTAAAAATATCATTATTGTCAGCATTATTTATAGTATTGTCATCATTATTGTTATAATTTATTTTATTACTACTCTTTTTGTCATAACTTAGCTATGTAATTTAGGTTTTTTACTTAACTTACTAGAACTTCAATTATTTGTAAATTTTATTGAATGTAATAAACTTACAGAATATATTTAACTTAATTTAATTAACTCAATGGAAGGGTATTCCATTACTCTTCTATTGAGGTAGAATAGAAATGATGTTAGAATAGAAGATAAAGACGAAATAAAATGGAAGCAAGAAAATTCCGAATTGATAATCCTAGAAATAATTATTAGGTCTCAAATACATTGAATGCTGTTAAAAATAAACTATAAAATAAGCTATGAAAATGACACTGGTACTTGTTTGTTTATTTGTATGCTATAACAGGAAAAGCCAGCCAACTTTTTAAATTTTAATGATAAAAAATTTTAATGATAAAAAAAATTTTAATGATAAAAAATTTTAATGATAAAAAAATTTTAATGATAAAAAAATTTTAATGATAAAAAAATTTTAATGATAAAAAAATTTTAATGATAAAAAAAATAAAAGTTAATGCTAAAAAGGTTGCCAGCAGTCACTAATTAAACAGGCAGCAAAAAAGAGAGTCAAATAGAATGAAAGCAATTGATAAAAAACTTAAAAAAATATATATGAGTCATGAAAACTGAAGAGAGTAAAAAGTTTCAAAGCATAAATGATAAAGCAAAAAACTAGGTAATAAAATTATTAGCATGAATAAATAGCTTTAGTAAAGTTATTCAACTTTGCTGAATGAAGAGTCATGCAAGACTGAGCTATAATTTATAGAACAAGTGATGATAGCTTGCTTGAACAAGAAAGAGAAGAAACTTAATAGCTAATCAACTGCTTAGTTTCGGGTGTAATGAAAATAGTTCCAAATAAAAACTTGTAAGACTGTGACGGAAATGGTGTCTCCATAAACTGTAAAGTAGTTTAAGTGAGAAATAGCTATAGGAATGAAAGCAGGAGTAGTTTGGATGTCTAACAGATTAGGATGTTTCTTTTGGATGAAAAGAAGAGTATGGCCATTAAATTCATAAGATGAAATAAAATCAGATCCATGTATGAGAAGTAGAATGTCAGAATTACCTTTGCAAATAAAATTATAAAGATTTTGCTAGAGGTAAGTTTAAATGGATGAAAAAATACTTTGTAGACCATAAATGTTTGTAAAGTATAGATTGAAGCATAGATTTGGTGCAAATGATGGTTTTTTCTAATATTTTTAGATACTTTATTTATGTTTTACTTTAAATAGAGAAATCAACTCAATTATAGTGAATGACACCAAAAGCTATGCAGTCGCCTCATTTATACAACCAACTTAAAGTAACAAAGGGCTTCTTATGTAGCTTTGATAATGAACATGTAAGGTACTAACTGGGACACTTTCAATGAACAACATGACACTGTAAATATTCTGTAATATTTTACAGCTGTTGACTAGATCAACCACTCTGATAGCTACCTCAAAACATCTAAACTAAGTTTTAGAGTGTTACTCTCATTAAGAAACAAAATCAAAAGTTGTATAGCCATTACCAAAAAGGTACAAATAAAAACCGATAAGTAGAGACAAGTAGACCTAGATATCTAATAGATCCAACTTTACCAAAGGAGACTTTCTGTAAGACATTAGCTAAATGCAGTTAGCATTTACCCAGGATAATTATTTTGAGATTTTACTAAACTAAGAGCCCTAATTTACAGAAAAATATTATTTGATGTTTATTATTGGAACAAATTACTAGAAAATATTATTCGAAAAAAAACATATTTTTTACTAACACAAATATTAAAAAAATTCAGACATTTTTTTTCTGCTTTTACTTATATTTAAAAAAAGTGTGTCTTATTGCACAGTGACTTAAAAGTTTCAATATATATATTTTTCTATAGAAAAATATATAAAATTATGTAGAAATATATATAGTAAAGTAATATTTTAGTGTCCATATGTTTCATACACCAAAGCACAAAACCTGGCAGCTAGATAATCCATTATAATTGGACTTTGAAGAGCTTAAACTCATTTTTAAGACAATATTTTTCATTATAATGCAATCTAATGCTGAAAAATGATGTGCTTCCAACTTTCTTTCTCACAACTGTCTAAATAACTCAACTTAATAATTTTTAACTTCTCCTAACTTTATTTCAGATTCTCTACTTCTAATTGAAGCAATGTCTTTTAATGTTCCCTTTAAAAAAATTCCTTATGAAAAAAATAAAATAATAATATTTTTAAATAACTTCCATTTATATAAATATAGCAAAACAAACCATTTTACCTATTGATATATTTGTGTTTATTTGAACTTCGTTATCAACAAGTGCAACCACAGGGTTATAAGAAATGCTCCATTTAACAATACCTAATGATAGCAGCAAAACTTCATAGCTACTTAAAGAACAATCCGAACCATTGTTATTATCTAAACATGTACTTTTAACACAAGGACTGTTGAAGTTAGATAAATTTAATTGCGGATATGAAGCATTTCTGCAGAAACAAAGATATCCTTCAAGAAAAAAAGCATAGGAAAAAATTCCTGGTGGAGTGTAGGAGTTGCAAGCAGTAACGCATGATACTAGAGACTCAACGTGATACCCACTTGAAGTTAATTGGAAGTCTGTTGAGGTATCATTTGTACAAGCCAAGAGTGCTAAAACATAAATACAGATATATGTATACTTATTTTCTAAACCCATGCATACTGAAAGTACAGAAAATGTTAGAAGTGTTAAAATTTAATAAAAAATATTACAAGTATTTTAAAAAAAAAATTAAAAAAAATTTTATTAATACAATAATTCATAATAAAACCAGAACAAAAATCAGAAAGTTAAAAAAAATCAACTTAATTTAATAACTCAATTTTTGAAAGTCAACATTTTGACGTTTAATAAACTTCTTTATTTTCTAGTTCAAATACATACATACATACATACATACATACATACATACATACATACATACATACATACATACATACATACATACATACATACATACATACATACATACATACTTACATACACATATAAATACATGCATACACACACACACACACACACACACACACAAACACACACACACACACACACACATAATGAGTTCATTGGTAATAAACCTTTATAACATATAAAATATAAAATATAAATATATAAAAGATATGTGTATAATAGTTTTTATGTTTTTCCACTCAAAAACAAATAAATTCCAAACATTCTAATATCAAACTTACTAGCATGAAAACAATGATTTTTTGTCATTTTTAAATATGCATTGATTTAATCACAAACATTATCATAAAGATACTTATACTGGCTTGTTAAAAAATTTAGTTTTAAATCAATTTAATAAAAAATTGATTTTAAAAAAGTTCTTATTGATTGCGCATTCAAAGTTAAAAAAATGATATTGTTGATAAATTTATAGAATGGTGTGATAATTTATATTTCAATCAAAGACATAATGAACTAATAAACAAACCAAGTATATGAAAACTAATAAAGAAACCAAGTTAATGAAAATTTTCAAAGTGCTCTACATCAATAGTATTTCTATAAACATTGAAAACAAAATTTGATTTAACTAAAGACTTTGAATTGAAAATTTTATTATAAAGTTGGTGTTATTGAATTTTTTTTTTTGTTAAAGATATTTAAACTTTTTTTAGTCAAAGATTAAATTCCTAAAGATAACATATTCAACATTGTCTATAAGTTTACTTGTACAAACTGTTACACAAGATGAACAGTCTCAAATGTTTTTTTTAAAGCAGGGATCATACCATTTTTTTTTTTTTTTTTAAGAAAGATAATTTTCAGATATGGAGAAGACTTTAAAACATTCTCATTTGTTATAAGCATAAAAATATTATACTAAATAAACTCAAAGTTTGCTCTGTATTTAAAAGTTATTTTTTTAGTAAATGAATAAGTATCTCAAAAAAGATAAAAAATCACACATTTTTCAACATTTAAAAAACAACATTTTTTGTTCTGGGATTGTTTTCTAATTGCTTTAAGATTTTAGTTTTTGCTAAAATGTTAAATTGATAGTCTTTACCAACTTACCAACAAGTTTTTAAGTTTACTTTTTCTTGCTCCAGCTGTGTTTCTTTTAAATAAATAATACAACAAAATGTCTTTCTTTTATGTCTTGACTTTTTCTATTTTCCTCATATAAAATTGCTGCTTCACACAACTAATACATGTAATTAGTTATTTTTTTTACACAAATGTAACTAGTTGTATTTTTTTATCGACAAAAGTGTAAATAAATAATTTTTCCAATATTAAAAAAAAAAATTTTAATTTGAAATACTCAAATACTTATTTCAAATAATTTGCAAAAGAAGAAACTCCTCTTGTATTTAAAAGACAAACTCGAGATTTAAAAGCCAGACAGTGTTTTGATAGAGTTAAAGAATAGCATAGTCTAATACAAAAATTTCTGGCTGACAAAATTTAGCACTCTTGCATGAGTAGGTAATTGTTTATAAGAAAACTTTTAATTCCGTAAAGTAATTCTGTTTCATGAAATAAAAGACATGCTGTAAAAAAAAAAAATTATAATTCTATTTATTCATTAAATTTTACCTATAATTCCAATAAATAAATGTTTTGTAGACAAAAACCTCTCTTCAACTTGAATTAAAAGTATGGTTTGCTTATTTTTTAGTTCAAATTATTTTTTGTTTTATTTCTGAACTCTGAGACAAAATGTTTTCAAAATTAGTTAATACTCTTCAGGTACTTTTCATAAGTTTAATCAAAACATAAAAAATTTGTCAAACAAATTTTTACTTTTTAAATAAATATTAAAATGAAATAATATATATATACTAGTGATTCTTTCAAAATATTTACCAATATGGTCACAAATTGTTTTGTGCATTTTCTAGGAGTATTATAAGTAAATTATTTTAATTAACCTATTAAAATAATGCTTTTCATGTTTTTTTAAAAAGCTTCAAAAATTAAGGACTTGTTTTTACAAATATTTACTGATGTATTACCTACATTCAATTAAATATAGTTAAACAATTTAATTTCATTTTCACTCATTACAAAGTCTATGGACTAAATTAAAATTAAAAGTTGAAAACTTGCTCAATCAAGCCTGAAAAATTTTAAATTCTTTATATTAATTAAATTTTTTCTAAATCTTGATTATTGTTTTCTTAAATTTCCAAAACTAATTGATAGTTTTACTTGATTTGTTAACACTTTTTGGAGTTCTCCATAAATTGCTTGGTTTAAAATACAAAATATTTTTGTCATAGCACACAAACATGATAATGCATTTTTTTTTGCACACCCTAGACAGAAAGCTTAAATTGACACAACGTAAATTTTAACATTGGCTTATTTATTCTACTGGTCTAACATAGAGCCAATATTATTTTTCGGCGTAATATTTCAATTCTGCAAATTGGTTTTTTGCAAATATTGTATAACAGATAATTTGTAAATATAGTACTACGTACTATTGTAGTATTGACTCAATATTTTGTTATAAAAATCTGTTCTAACACTAATGCCGTAGCTCTGATAAGCCAATGCTTGGCCAATGTAGTTGCGGATCATTTTTTTGGTATATATTTAAAAACTTGTTGAAATTTTTATTTCAACAAGTTTTTAAATATATACCAAAAAAATTTTTTATTATCACTTTATCTTTTTGAACTTATGTCATTTAATTTGTGTTTTCTCATACATTAGTTTGCAATTCTTTTTTTTTTTTAGGTTTTTATTTGTTTTTAATGATTAATAATTAATAAAAACAATTAAAAACAAAAAACACATCTTAAATCATGATTTTTATTTGTCTAATTTAAATCATAATTTAAATTGATTTAAAGCAACTGATTTAAATCAATCGATTTAAATCAAAACAACTCTGTATATATTCCAACTTGCTGAGGCAGAGGGACATTATTCTTGGTTTAATTAGTTTTTAATAAATTTTTTTGGACTCGTTCGTATTTAGTTTGCGTAAAACAGTTGAAAACTTTAAGCTTATACATTAATATTAGTTATAACTTAATTATTAATGAATTAATTTATAGATTTTTAAAGCAATGCAAGCTTGAGCTTAGTAGAAGGCTAAACTTATGCTCTGGAGACAAAAAAGGAAGACAAATGATCAGCCAAAATAAAGATTGAAGAGAGATAAAATTGTGTATAATAATTGGTGTAGATGATTCTTCAGATTTTTTAAGTAATGATTTCAACTTCATATAACAATACAAAAAATATTTATAAACTTTGGGGTTTACCTGTAACTCCAAAATCTTTGCAAAAGTTCAATGCTTGTTCTGGAAAGTTGAATGAACAAAATTTATTAAATGGTAAGTTTTAATGCTAAAGTCTTTTTGTCTGATAATTGGGAATATTTATTAATAGCTTTAACTTTTACAAATTTTAAAGAGTTTTTCTTATATATTACAGTCAATAAGTCAAAGTATTAATGAACATTTTATTGTGCAATAATCAACATATCAAAGCATACACCAACTTTGAAATCCATTCAAAATCAACTCTTAGGAAAGAAAACAAAATATTCATTAGAGTTTAACGTTTTAACAGTTGCCGATGATTCATTATTATTTATTATATAAATATTTATTTAGATTTTTCTAATAGACAATATTTTTTTGTAGATATATTTGTAAAACAATATTTTTATAGATGATATTATTTTTAAAATTTGTATTATTATTAATATTCAACATATTATTATTATTATACAACATTGGGCCAATATTGCATACAATCTTGGGCCAATGTTGTATACAAAGTTGAGCTAATGTTGTATATAACATTGGGCCAATATTGTATACAACATTGGGTCAATGCCTAAACAATGATTAAACCTGCATTGGGCCAACATCAAACTTCAATGTTGGGCCAATGTATCACCATGCATTATACAAATATTGGGCCAATGTAATCCTGCTATCTAGGACAAACAAGATTAAGCAAGATTATAAAATTTTGAGTGCAGAAGTGAGGTTGAATTTTTTTAAAAAAACAAAATCATCTGTTCATTGCTGTGCACATCTTAATTTATAGCTTTTTATGTGACTTATTGTGCCATAATAACGATAAAGATCACCTTGACTACCATAACTACATGAAAATTTGAGGCAGATTTAATAATAAAAATTGCCTTGAGAACACCATTTTTTTAAATTAGATGAAAAAAAATTTATTTCATTTTTGAATTAAATTTTTGATGTTTCACTTTGTTCCTGCAAGTTGATCTTTTTTATTTTGTCGTATAGAAATATGGTATTTATTGTGAGATTATTTTATTTTAAATTTTCATACTGTTTGTAATGATTACTTTACTTCTCTAATGATGAACATTAATCTGTAATAAGAGCAGTTTAAAATTTTTAAATCACATACCTACGCATATTGACCAGATTTATAAATCAATTCAAAGCAAAATTTAAATGGTGTGAACAATGTGTTTATACTATTATAACTTAAACAGGATATACAATGCAATAACTATTTAATATAACATATTTTGTATGCTTATATAACACAATAATTTATCTGGTAACAATAAACAAATCATTTATAAAATATACCTGACTTGAATCCACTGCAAAAGATTGTGAGTGGCAGCCAATATTTCTACAACAAAATCAAATTGACTTTAAAAAAAAAGTTTCTAATACTAAATTTTTTAAATTCCCGTGATATTGTTTGTCAGTAATCATGTCGATCATCTTTGATCTGAAGGTAGAACTTGCTGCTATGACAACAAACAACAACAACAGTATTACTGTTGTTGTTATTTGCTGTTAAACAGCAACAACATTAACAAAAGCAAAAACAGCAACATTAACAGCAACAACAATAATAACAAAAAAAAAACAACAACAACGTGGGAGGGAGGGGGGGTCAACCTGGCAAAGGGGGGTGTTTTTCATAGTCGGGTAGTCGGGTGTTGAACACAAATCAGCCGAGTGATTTTTAGTTTTAGGGACTTTTTTATTTATTTAAGGAGCCAGTCGGGTATTTTTTAAATCCACTTAATAAAAAATCCACATTAAGGATTCATTAAAAATTTACAATAACGCTGAAAAGTTTGTTTTTGCCGTGTTGATTTTAAATGTATAAGTTACAGTTTATACGAATAATAATTAGTTACAGTTACAGTTTATACGATACTGTTTATACAAGTTACAGTTTATATGAAAGTGAATCCCTGGGCATAATCTGTAGTGTTCCATAAGATTCTATTCTCGGACCACTACTATTTTTAATTTATGTAAACACTTATATAAAGCTTCCAAATTGAAAAGTATAATTTTCGTTCTAATCTTTTCTTATCCTATACTGATATTAATGAAGTCTTTTCAACTACAAACAAAGAACTCAATCACATTTCTAATTGGTTCAAAGCTAATAAATTAACTATAAATATTAACAAAACAAAATGGATTATTTTTCACTCCTGCGCAAAAAAACGTTTTTTTACCAAATAATATGCCTCAAATTTATATTGAAAAAACTATAATAAAAAGAGATATTGTTTTCAAATTCTCAGGTGTTTATCTAGATGAGAATATTACTAGGAGAAAACATATTGATTATGTTAGCAAAAAAATTTCCAAAAGTATTGGCATTTTATACAAAGCCTGAAATTATCTAAACAAAAAAAACTTAGCCCAACTTTATAATTCATTTATATACAATTATATAAATTATGCAATCATCTCCTGGGAAAGTACGGAGAAAAGTAAATTACAACATTTTTATCGACATACACAAATGGACCCACTCCATTTGTGTATGTATCCACTTTCAAAATACAATATTCTTAATCTATGCTATATAATCAAAAGTTTATTTAAAAAAAAATACTTAATAAAAGGAAAATTTAACAAAAGACTCCTCTATTGTTTTAGAAAACTAGGCAGAAAACTACATATTTGTATTTAAGATAAAATCTTTTATCTTAAATACAATATCTTTTATCTATAGTTACTATTGGTGAAAAAGTCAACATAAGTTCTCCCTCCTCCTAACTTTTCTCTCTATCTAATAAACGAAAATGACTAGCTCTAAGTAATATTAACGGGCGATAACTAAAAAATGAGAATAATTCTAACGCTCTGAAATCAAACCGCAAAAGTCAAAAAAAGAAAAGTACTCCTATGTGAAACTATATTCTCTTTGTTTACAAACTTATCATATGTTTGTCTTGCATCAGCTAATTCAGTTGTGTTTAAAATGCCGTCAAAATAAGATGCACTACGTGAGCACATTGTAAAGTTCTATCAAATGCACGAAAATCTCGGAAAAAAGTTTACTGTTAATCATTTTAAAACCGAAAATGTTCCAGTTTTAACTATTTACCGTATTTTGGCATCTTTTGCAACCAAACTTAAAAGTGGTAGTAAAAGACCAGCTAAAATAATGAACAAGAAGGGACTTCATTTGCTTCACGGTGCTTTCAACAACAATGATTCAATAAGTCAACGAGATGCTGCAGAAAAGTTCAAGTGTACGCAGTCTTATATCTGCAAATCGTTGAAAAAACAAAAGAAAGTTGCTTCCCCCTCTCCAAAACCCAAGTTCCAGGAAACGATCGATGTTATGCAGATAAAAGTTTTACAACACTCACAAAAGTAAAATACAAATATAAACATAAGTTTGAGCAGAAAGTAATGCTGCACATTGGCAAATTTGAGAAGAAATTTCCAAGCCATTGTTTAAGCCAAGTAGTTTATCTGTTAATCAAGAAATATACCAAAATCAATGTTTAAGGAAAATATTGATCCCATTTCTTCAAAAATATCAATGGCAATTTCTTGATTTGGCCGGATAAAGCATCATCGCATTATGCCAAAAAAACAAAAGTCTTTTTGGAAAGCCGAAACATCTCATATGTACCAAAAAACCGCAATCCGACAAACTTGCCTCAGTGTCGCCCAATTGAAAATTTCTTTGGATATTTGAGTTCGTTAGTATACAAAAACAACTGGAGAGCTAAGAATTGCAAACAATTGATTACCCAAATCAAAAGATGCATTCGTCAAGTCAATACAAATCCTGTGCAATGCTCCTGTTCCAACATTTTGAAAAAACTACGTCGAACTGCTGATCATGGACAATATTCGAATGTTCATTAATTTTTTCATAAAGATAATTGATTTACCTCCAATCTAAATAAATATAATTTTCGTTTTCTAAAAATTTGTTTTTATTATACCCCGATATAAAAATTCTCATTTTTTAGTTATCATCCGTTTTTTATAAAAAGTACCACAAGTTAACTGTTTAAAAAGCATCATCCTAATATTTCGAAGATTCTTGATTTTTTAGATTGTTGTGCTGCACGGCATAAAAACCCATTCAAAAAGGACTGACCCAAAAATTGACAGATTTAAAATATGTTGTTAATGAAAAAACTGAGACTATTTTACACTTTTTATAAAGCAATTAAAAAAAAATTAAAGAGCAAAGAAATGTGCAATAATTTTGGTGGAGACAATTACAATAACGATTTGTGCTCAATTTCTCATTCTGAAATTTATAATGTTTATAGTTTAGTACAAAAAGTTTTGGATTATTTGAAGGAAGTGGCCATTTTCACACTCTTAACAACAGTTTTGTCAATAGATAACCTAATGGGTACAGGACCAAAAAAAGACGTCTTTTGAACGTTCAAAAGACGTCCAAAACGTTCAAAAGACGTTCAAAATACGTCCAAAATGTGTATGTCATTTAAAAGACGTCTTTTTTACGTCCGTGTCCACTGGGACGCTACAGTCATTTAAAAAAATAATTTTAAATCCTTTAAGTAAAGGCTACCTAATGTTGGCTAACTTATTATCATGAGCATTTCAAAAGGACGTACTTAAGTTAGAAGCAGATTCTTATTGCATCATAAATACAATAGAGATTTCGGAAAAAGTATCAGATACTTCCAAAAATTCGTATTAAAAATAATTTCTTGCCCAAAATTATAAGTAATCTCCTAAAGAACGAAGAACTTCTACTAAACGAAATAATAAATTTCAAAAAATGCTTTTAGTATGTACCAAAATGGTTTAAAAACAAATCAACCAAATTTCTTTAAACTGCCAAAGAAATTAAACAAATAAAATTCGGTAAAATCATTTGAGTTTTAAGAAGAAAAGAAATAATTATTCTTGCAAAATAATTAATTGATTCATTTAACTAAATTTTCTATTTAAAGTGTAATAGTTTAACATAATCATTATTAGAGATATGAAAATTGATTACAAATAAAGTTAAAAGTAAAAATTCTTTACATTTTCGAAATTTTATGGTAATAATTATTTTATTTTCACATATTTTATGTTTAATTATATATTTTGATCATTGTTGTGGAATTTTGTTATATTGATTCCTTACCAAGAAATAGTTCACTTTACATTTTAAGTCAAATTGATAAAACCTGAACGTTTTTCTTTAACCTAATGCCGTTTTTAACCTAATCTACCTCACTGTACAGTAGGCTGGGTAGTTGTACAGTAGGCTGGGGTAAAACTTTTTTCATATAGAAAACTGTTGTTTGGTGCAACTTTATGTGGCAAACAAGCCAGTTTACCACCTACTGTGATTTATAGGTCCAGATTTTTTGCTCTTTGGTTATTATTCTTACTCTTATTGATAGATATGGCAAGAATAATATTGTACTGCTAATATTTACTGAGATCAAGGATTGCTTCTTTTGATAATATAAGTAATTTGTTTCCACCCGTTAATAGGTTGAAATTTTAAAACCGGCAATTTTTCACATTTCTAAATGGTTTTACCAATTGGTCCTGTAAAAGAATTTCTGCCAGATGTTGGACCATCTAGTTGTATAAACAAATGTCTTAATGGGAGTTCATTTGTGCGCAGAAGATAAATAAACTATTGTAACGGGTTTCCTAATGCATCTTCCGAGTTTTGTATTACTCCTCCTTTAAATCCTGTGTTTGGTACTAGTACTATCACGACCAACAACTATTTTATTGGAAAATTTATTCATTTTGTTAATTTCTGACAATATACAGACTGCAATTTTTTTTCTTTTCCTAGATTTTAGTAAAACATGCAATATATATTTGTTTCCAGGTTTGCAACCAAAACATAATGCTCTTCTTTTTTAGTACCAACAAATTATATATCTGTTTCGCTCCTCCTGGTTAAAGTGTCATCAATTCTACCATCAAAATATAGAGAAGTAATCATATCAGTGCATGTGTTATCATATTGAAACTGTTTTCTTGACTTTATCCTTTCTTTTCTTAATTTATTTTTATTAATAACTTTACTTTGGTCTGTATTAGTAACAAAATTCACAGCTGCAGTAAGAGAGGCCGCAGCACAATTTGAAGCACCATAACTGTCAGCCTCTCTTGATAGATTTGCTAAAGATACCCTAATTTTTTTACTTGTTCCTTAACTTTAACTGTCTGAATCTGATTAGACTGCCTCACTCAACGTTTTCACACTTGCATAATTTCTGAAATCGTTGTCTTATTCATTGTCATACTCTGTTTCATGATCACACGATGATTCAACTTATTTGTCTAAACTGCTTGCTTCTGTTAAATCAACTTTTCTATGTTTTTCAGCAATTTCTCTATTATTTAAAGCTAGCTTTCTTTTATTCGATTCTCAAATTTTTTGGTAATATAAAGTCTACTCTACCGATGTTCATTTTACATATAGTTCATAATTTCAACTCCCTTTGTGGAACTTTCTTTTCTCTTACACATTTTAAATCTGCGGTTGTATCTCTTGCAAATTCCTCAAGATGAAGTTGGCGCATACAAGAACTAATGTCAAATAACTATTGAAAAGTTGCAGTAAACTTTTGTAGTTGAACTGTACTTGATTATGATTGGCTTTAAGTAGTCCCTTTTTTTATTATGACAGTATCCGATGTTTAACTGTTTTAGGATCAACGGTAGTAATGGATACCATGTTTCAAAATTTCAATATATCATTTGTGATTTTATTAATAGTAGTTGCATTCTGTGCGTTTGGCTTTTTTTTAGCAGTATAAAAATATCTGACAATTTGATTGATACTAGACAACTCATTCTTTGGTAAAAAAGGAGGAAAACCAAATATGTAATGGCTGCTTTCTCTTCAGGTTTCAAAAATAGGGCAGTTGCATTATCATATTTTTAGGGTTTATTTTGCACAACTTACTTTCACTTATATAAAGGCACAATACTACAGTGTTCCTTGTAAATATTCACTATAAAAATTGTTTTCACTCCAGCCTGCTGTACAGGGGAAGAAAGTAGCTGTATAATAAATTAAAAATCTGTATAATAAATTAAATATAAATTAAAAAAATAAAGATAAATTAAAAAAATAAAATAAAAACTCTTAGTAACCAAAATAAAAAGCTTGCAACTAGGAAAACCATAAATATAGAAAAAATAGGTTAACAAAAAAACTCCCAAAAAATAATTTATATGCTACCTACTGAATAGTTTGACCAGAATAGCCAAAAAAATTCATCTTTCTCTTTTTTTTTTTTTTTTTTTTTTTTTTTTTGAGGAAAAGTTAATATACCTTAAAGTCACATGAACGAGCCTTAAAAGAAAAGTGGAACGAGCCGCCTTAAGGTCATGTAAAATAGCGTAACATATATTACCTTTATCTGCGTAAATAAGTGGAATTTTGTACTTTTGTGGCATTCTTTCTTTTATGTCTTCAGTTTCTTAAATACTTGATATTTAGCAACCAAACATAAATTAATTTAATGAGAAAAGATGGGGATATAAAAATAATAAATATAGTAAACTAAAATAAAAAATAAACATATTTAGCATGATATATGTACAAAAATACTCATTTTATTAAGCAATACTTACAAATAAACAAATCTTTTCTTTTAATGGCTAATAAAACTCCTCACTTTCACTTTTTTGTGTTATTAGCCTTGCTTTTTTAAATATTATTGTTCTTCTTTTTATGTATTAATTTATTTATTTTTGATCACTATCTTTATTATTATTTTTTGGTATTTGTTTGTTTTTTGCTTTATTTGTTTATTTTATGAAGGTGTTACTTCAATGACTAGACCTTAACTATACGAGTGACACCGAACCTAATTTTGTAAAATTATTAACCAACTTGTTTTTTTTTCAATTAAAGGTTAAATAAATGGAAAAATAAAAATAAAATCTTTAAATAAAATAATAAAATAATGAACTCTTTTCTATTATTATTTTTCTTTTGAAAACATTTTTTTCTTTAAACTTCTAATTTTGTTTTAATATTTATTTATTTATATTTTGTTTTTAGTCGATTTTGTTTTTAAGTTTAATATCTTTAAAAAAAAATTGACCATATTTTTCAACAAGAACTTCAAAGAATTTTGAAAATCAAGATTCTTTTAAATTCTTGAAGCTCGAATTTCAAAGATAACATAAAAACGAATACAGTTATTTATTAATAATAAAATTTATTAAATACTGGTTTTGAGAATTAAATTTCATTTAGCAATTTTGATAAACAAATCAAAACTAGCAAATGCAAAAACATAAAAGTTTTTATTGAGTTTTTTTTATTAAACTTATGACTTAAAATAACACCAAATATTTATGACTTAAAGTGACAACACCAAACATTTTTAGATTTTTTATACTTTTAAAAATATGTTGAAATTACATTCACCAAAAAAACATTTAAAGAATTTTTGTAAGCTTTTTGAGCTTTTGTATAATATTTTTGGGTCCTTTTTTAAACAACAAAAAATAAATGCTAAATTACCATGTTTATAAATTTTAATTTCTTGTCTTTAAGCTTTTTTTTTCATATAACCTCTTTTCTTTTTTCTATAATCCTTCATATATTCATTTCTTATTTTATAAGTTATCTGATAAGATTTTCTATTCGACACCTTAGCTTCAAGGTAACTGTAACGACCTGTGTTGTTTCTAATGACGACATCTAATAAAAAGTTAAATTTTACAATTTGTTCAGTTTAAATTTTTTAGTTTTCGATTATTACTTATTCAATATTTAAGATTAGGTGAGGAACATTAAAAGAATTTACCAGTCAAATGAAAAAATAGTTTTTCATAAATATTTTACGCTCATTGAAACTTTGTGATGTTTTTTATATTCTGTAATTTTTAAATTTCTGTATGCTTTTTTATACTTTTTCTATGCAAATAAAATACTTGAAAATGCAAAAAAAGAATATCAAAAGTTAATGGTGCTTTTAAATTTTGATATTATTTTTTTGATTTTATATATATTTAATGCTCCAAGTATGCGCAGAAGAGGCTCACAAGGTACAGTTCTATCAGCTCCAAAAATTGTTCTGCACACGTTTTGTTTACCGTACACTTTTTTTTAATTTTGTATGGTTTGAATTATTGTTGAAAAATGGTTTAGTCCAATATATCATTGCTAAATTTTTTGTTACTTTATTTTTAACACTTTTTATATGTAAACTCTTATTAAATAAGGCAATTTGATGGAAATATTTTTGATTCATTTTGTGAAACAAGATAAATTTGGTTTATCCACATTTCGAGAAAGTTTTTTATTTATAAACCACTCATTAACTTTCGATTTAATATCTCTGTGGGAATAAAAAAGATTGGAGTCATCTGCAAAAAGAATACAATTTAATAAGTCTGTTGCTAAATTTAAATCATAAATGTACACTAGGAACAACAGTGGTCCTAAAATAGAGCCCTGAGGAACCCCACAAGTAAGGGCAGACGGGAATGTTTGTTTTTATTCATACACTATAAATTGTTCTTTTCTCAAACATTTTAGTAAACCATTGTACAATAAAATCGTTAACATTAAAATAATAAAATCATATAATAAGAACAAAGTGAAAGATAATATAGTTATACAGGTATTTAATTTTATAAAAAGAACGCGGAGACTTTTATTTTATTTTATAAATAGAAGGTATTTTATTTTATTTAAGTTTTATAAATAGAAGGTATTTTATTTTTATAAAAAGAACACGGAGAACTATCAGAAGACCGTCAGGTTATCGAGAATTTCTCTTAATTTACAATCTCATAAATGATAATCAAATACAGTTGTATATCTCTATAAAAACTTGATAGCATAAATACATCAAATAATACATGAAATTATTAAACGTTTAAAAATATAAAAATATATTATCCAGAGACAAAATTATTTCTTTAAGTTTATTTTTAAATTAGAGGTAACTCCATTCCAGAGAAAAAGCAAAATATTTTAAAACTATTTTATTCCAAAAAGAAGCTCCGCGAAATGCAATGTTTGTTTTCCTAAAATTCGTTTGATAAAAAGATTGCCGAACTAATTGCCATTTCTTAAATTGTATTAATTTTTTTTTTTCAAAGTATACAAATTATGGAAAGAAACTGGGGAGGAATTTATTTTACATTTGTACATAAAACAAAGAGTATTAAAAACATTGAGCTGATATATATTAAAAAAAATTTTATTTCAGATAAAAGAGGCTTGGCATGAGTAAATCTGTCTTTAAAATTGATAAGACGAGCAACATGCTTCTGCTGACGATAAAGAGGTTCCAGTTTACTTTTATTGGCACTACACCAAGCAATACTTGCATATTTTAAATGACAATGAATAAAAGAAAAAATAATCGTGTTAAACTTTGGTTATTTAAAGCCTTTCTAGCCTTATACATTACTCCTATGCTTTTAGCAATTTTCTTGTACAAAAAATAAGTGTGATATTTTATTAAAAAGTTATTTATTTCTCTTTTTATTTGGATTTTGTCTATAAAAAAGTAAGGGCAAGTTGGGGGGCAGTAGTTTCTTTTTAGAAGTAGGATGAAAGAGTGACCATTTTGTTTTATCTATATTTAGTGACAATTTATTCATTTTGTACAATTCACAAATTTTCGCTCATTCAATGTTCAAAGTTTGAAATAATGTTGGAATACTTTTATACGATAAAAAGAGATTACACACTAAAAAAAAAAAAAGGTAGAAATTTCTTCTTAAGATAGGATATGTGATATACCCTTAGTAAGGTATAATTTTCTACCTTTTAAGGTAGAAAATTATACCTTTAAGGTAAAAAATTCTATGGCAAATAATTGTTTTTATTATAATTTTTAAAGGTAGAAAATTATACCTTACTAATGGTATATCACATATCCTACCCTAAGGTAGAAATGTCATCAGCAAACATGACAGTCATTAAATTTGATGTTTTAGGGAGATCATTGATGTAGGTTAAAAAAAGAAGTGGTCCGAGGATAGAGACCTGGGAAACTCACAGGTTATATTTAACAAATTAGTTGTACCAGTTTTATTACTATAAACAAACTGTTTACGGTTTTTTAAATAACTTTTAAGTATCATTAAAACATTTCCTCTAATTCCATAGTATTCTATTTTTTTAAGGAGAAATTGATGATCAATTCAATATCATTTCGATAAATCTATGAGTATTCCCGACTTATATTGGGACTTCTCAAAAGATTCAGCTATACTACGAGTAATTTGGAGTATTGTCTGTTCTGTCAAATAAGATGCATCTATTTTGTTAATCACAAAAGGAATATTTCTAAAATTTCTTTTAATTGAGCTATTGTAAAATTTTTTGCCATTTTAAACATCCTAGCAGTTAAAACGCGTCCGTTCATGGTGAATATTGAGAATGATTCAGGATCAGAATGATTCATTCTTAGATCATTTTAGGGTTCATTCTTAGATCATTTTAGGGTTCATTCTTCAGGATTCATTCTAGGGTTCATTCTTTCGGATCAGAAAGATTCATTCTTAATTAATTAAGGAATTATGATTAACGGTATCGAAAACTTTTGACAGATCAATGAAAACTACAACATGTCGTTTTCTTATAAGTAGTTAAAAAGCCTATTGTACATTATTCTCTCAAGTAATTTTGAAAAACAAGGTAAAATAGATATAAGCTTATAATTAGAGATAATTGAGTCATCTCCGAACTTAAATATCCGCGTTATTTGTGCAATTTTTAGCTTTTCAGGGACAATCCTTGTTTCTATTACATTATATACTGATTTATAAACAAGGTTTCTATTACATTATATACTGATTTTACAAAATTAACGTTAATTTTATTAAATCCAGCACTTTTTTTACTTTTAAGGTAAAAAAGGTGGTTTGCAATTCAATTAATTTTAAATTAGGTTCATCCATAACTTTATCGTAAAAACATAAAAATTTCACGAACTGACCAAAAAAAAATATAAAGAAAAAAAATATTCTCCTCACCCCTTCTCTTTTATTAAAGTACCCCCTTTTTATGTTTAACTTTATGTCTTGCGTTCTTAGTCTTATGGGTCATTCCACGCCAAGTGGTCTAGAGGTCCCCGCTCTACCATCACCGATTTTAATAAAATTTTGTCAGTATGTTGTTAAACATGTTTCATGAAAATTGCTAAATTTTATGATTAAAATGTTTATTATTTTGGGTTTTGTGGTACTTTTTGTAAGGCTTACCCAAACTTCAATATCAGTCTGTAGCTTAAAACTGCATTTTTGGGGTCTTATATTTTTGTAATGAACGGATAATATATCTTAAAAACGTGGTTTCATAGTAAACCGATGGTGGAGATTACAAAAAAATTAATATAAGTTTCATATGATGCTTTCATTTTTGTCTATGGTTCACCAAAAACCGTCACAAATTCAACACCATAAATTTTTTCTGTTTTTTGTAGGGTCATATCTCCAGAACAAAAGATTTTTTTGTATTGTTACTTTGTTTACAGGTTCTACATACTATCATAATAATATGGATTAAAAATCGGCTTTTTTATAAACGTCTTTTCTAAGTTATTTTGAAAGCAAAATAGCGACGAGTGAAATACTCTAAAATAACGTGTTTGAACCCTAAAACTCAATGTGGGCAATAATCTTTTGTTTTTTTATTTGCATCATTGGAAAGAGCTTATTTCACACTTCTAGAAACAATAAAAATTATTTTGGAGAGATTTTTCATATGAACGAAAGAAAATTGGTCAATATATACACTTTTTGAATTTTTACGATTTTGTCCTAAACAAGACTTATCATACTGCATCAAAATCAAAGCTTGCTGTACAAAAAATCAAAATATTTTTATGTTTAAAGAATTTTTTTTAACATTTACTTGAGTTATTTCAGAAAATTAACAAATCAGCAAAATGTGAATCACAATTTTTTAAAGTAAAAAAAACTGCAAATAAGTGCGTTTTTTTTTGACTAATTCATTTTATTAAAAAATTTATTTTTGTGTATTTTGATTATCTAATTGTTTTATTTCCAAACCGATGCATTTTCAAAAAAGTTAGTCTCAAAAGTAATAAAGAAGTTGATCTTCATTTTAGTAGATGGTACCAAAAAAGTTTATCCCTAATGACGCCTTGGAAACCGTAAAACATTTGATTTTTTACAATAAGTATGTCTAAAAAAGGATTTCAAAAACTTTACAGTTATAAAAATACTGCGGGTAAATATATGTTATTGACAATTTAAAATGCTAAAGAAGTTGAGGCAACTGACTATGGGCGCCAACCAAAAAAGGTGCTTGTTTTTTTATTTTCTTTGAAAAGTTATTTTTAGAGTAGATATGTATTTTTTTAAATTTTATTACGAAATTTTAGGCGACGATCATTCAGATGCCTAAGAACGCCATCAATCCAACAACGTCACAAATGCGGCCCTGGTTATAGTAGCATAATCTAGTTAACTAGGTAACTTGATTATGCTATGCAGTTTTGGAAACAATACAGATTTTACAACACGTTTTCCCAGTAAAACCCTTGAACAGCATCTTGCACAACAAACGAATAGTTTTCAGAAAAAGTCCATCGAATTGATCAACTCATTAAATGAGTTTGAATTCAA